AGAAGAAAAGGTGAGGCATGTGGGAATGTCGGAGGTCGTTCCCAGTGGCTTCGACTCGGTTTGGTGGCACTTGGTCCACTTCTGCTCCTCCTCGTCCTGATCCTCCTTGCCAACGCTCTCTTTCTCGCCTTCGGCACCCGCTTTCAGTTCCTGGCAGCTTGCTGCAATTAAATTTAAAAAAATGGTGCGATTTATTTTGATAATTTTTCAGAAACAAAACTAATTTCAGGTTCATAACTCAGCCAAAAGTGCATGAAATTCAATTCGAATAATTTCAATTATTTAACCAGAATGGCTCGATTCTTAGTGATCCAATTGCAATCTGCACGGGTATACAAACTTCGGCGTGTCGAAGTTAGCTTCTTTTCTTGTTTATATTAAAAAACTTCTTGATTTTTTTTTTAATTAAAAATATCATAACTCGGCCAAAAGAGCATTAATTTTAAATCGGAAAACTGTTCTGTGCTAGATTTTCTACAGTTAATAAATCTGCATACTTCATTTAAAAATTTTGAAAATTCAATTTTTTATCAAAATCCAAAATTTTAATGATGTAACCCCTTATAAAATTTTGCAAAAATGGCCAAAAAATCGATTTCTTCATATCTAGAAAGATTCCTCTGTTGATGCTGATCAAGAATATATATACTTTATAGGGTCGGAAACGTCTCCTTCACTGCGTTGCAAACTTCTGACTGAAATTATAATACCCTGCAAGGGTATAATAAGAGCTCAGCTCTCCGAAGTAAGGATTGTGACTTTGCTACGTTATTAGTGGAACTATGAACCAGGATTTGTGTCTTCAATAAAAGCTATATTCAATTGATTCCTTCAAGAAATAGTTTAGTTTTTTGATTTTAAAGAAATTCAATAAGTAATGATAATAATAATAATAATAAATCTTTTGTTCTTAAGTAAGATAAATTTGCAAAAAAAAAATGTTTTGATTATAAGCTGAAGATTAAATCTATGATAAAGGCGACATTTGTTATTTGAAGCGATGTTTCTATGATTTAGAACAGTTTTGTAAAGATACGTAAATACGTAAAGGTATGTGTATAACGTAGTAAAACGTAAGACCATCTTGTAGAAATATGTAAAAATGACAAATTTCTGACAAAGAACCTTAAAATTAGTTTTTATTCGTCTTATAGATTAAAACTTTACTTCTTTTTTAAACAAGTTAATTGAGTAGCTGAAAAACTTAATTAAACACATTTTTTAAAGTCTAAAAAAGGGTTAAAATGTCTCTCTGAAGGCTCACAAAAATGTGTGTTCCAATGTCACAATGATTTGACATTTTTTAACGGAAATTTGAATTTGAATTCCGCGTTTCTTGCCAGAAGACCTCAGCTATTCTCGGCACTTTGTCATTACTTTTCCTGCCACTCATTGTCAATAAGTTCAATATTGGACAGGGAAGGGACCTCATCTCAACTCGCTCACGTCCCGTAACCCCGTCGTAATGAACCCGGCTCGCTCCAGCAATATTTTACGTGTAACATTCAATTACGGCTCAGACGGGCAAATAATATGCTGCGGTGGCATCGGCATAGCCGCTAAGGATAAGAATCCTTTGTCTGCGTGCCGTGCTGCTAACTAAAAATGCCGTTAATATATCCCCCTCATCGCCTTTGCGGGGGAGTGCAATTATTTGGAACATCATCGTGTGTATGACTCTCGACATCCGCAGCACGTCGTCGGCGACGCACCAACGTCAATGACTGACAGTTTATTTAATAGAAAAACCCCAGCTATGTGTGTGTTCATGGAGTGTAGTGCTGTTTGGCGTTTGTTTTCCAAATAGTTTTTCTTCTACGCCCCCGACTCCGGGAAGCGCGAACAGCATTGACAAATTGTGCGGAAAATATGCATAATAAATGAAGCCACGCACTGTGAACTTTTGCAGTTATTAAGAGCAGGAAGGGTATTTGCATAGCAGAGTCCTTTTAAAGGACTCACTGTGGGGGGGTTTTAAGAGCTATTTAAAGGTGTTTTTTAAGCTTGATTTTAATGGAATTTAAAGAGGAAGAGAAGTTCAAATATACAGAGTATGTAAGGTTTAAAAATCGATGTATGCAGCTTTATTTAATTTCAAGAAATTTGTAATATTTAAAATTCATTTCCTTATGGTTTAAATTAATTAAATTTACTTTGAAATCTTACCTATTGGATTCGTTTTTCTCTTTATCTAAAATATATTATCAAAAGTAAAAGCCACTCTATATATTCTTTCCATCGAATGCATATGCATTCTTCTCCTTATTGAACATTTATTGCTGTCTGTCTCCCATACTCCCCCCTTGAGTTCGATGATATTGAAATTTCCAGCTCCATATGGCCAGGCCACATTAAAAGCAAGCCAAGAGCGGACTACGCATAGCAAAAGCAAGTTCACAAAGAAGCCAAGGGGCAACACAAACAAAAAGAAAATATATATAATATATATATAAAGGGAATCTAATAAAAATCCACTTTGTGCAAGTATGAAAAATGAACGATGAATTGCATTATAAATGCAAAAATATTGTCGGAAGCGGGATAAAAGCGCGCTTTGGCAGCACGACACCAGCTAACGCTGGACAAGCGCCTCGGAAAATCTGATCAAAATTATTGAGGCGCACGGAATGAGGGGGGCGTGGCGGAGGGTGGCGGAAGGAAACTGCAGCGGAACGTGGAGCTCCTGCAAAGTTTTTGCGGCGTCGCTAAGCTGTTGATAACGCCGATGATGACGACGCGATAAGCGTGGCGATAATGCTTGAATACCGCCCACCGCCACAAGGTGAGTTAGGTGGAGCAGTGATGGGAGATAGGTCCTTGTACCTAGGTTACTCTAAGAGTCCCCTAGAAAAATAAAATAAAATATCTTAAGTACAATAATTATAAAAGAAAGCTTTTTTTAAGCAAGTTATTTTTAATTTTAGGATATATTTTCTTAAGGTTTATTATAGATATTAAAATTAATTATCAAAATACTTAAAGGTTTTACTTTATACTTAAGAAAATATATTTTGAATCTCGATAATTTTACTCTTTTTATATCATCTATAAAAGTATTACCTTTACCATCACCAGATGTGAGCACCAATTGGCAAGGACAAAAGCCAGGACATCCTTGTGACCGTGGTCGTGGCTTGTCCTCGTCCTGTGCGTGCGCTGCATTGAGAAATTTCCTCGAAATGGCATTTATTTTCGGTTTAGCTGATGATGAGCCCAGGATAATGGCGGTGGTGGCGGCGAGCTGCCAGGCAGACGAGCATCGCCGGGAATTTATAATTATTTGCCAGATGACTTTCTGGTATAGTATGTATCTCGCCGCCAAGTCTGGCCATTGACATTGAGCTAGGCAAATCAGGAGAGCGAGCTGTCGATTCAGGAAATTGAAGGAAAGAACATGAATTTATAAATACATTTTCTCTCTGTGCAACAACCTCTACTTAATTTCTATAGCCAACAAAAACAGCAATCCTCTCCATCACCTGGCCTCCCCAGAGTCCGTTCCTGCTTCCGATTTGTTTATAAATACTGTGAAAAGTCGAGCTTAGTTCGGGATGAGTTTTTATCCGGGAATCTATCGTTAGCAAGCAATCACAGTGGCCGCCTTCTCTGGGGGAAGCCCCCATTTATCGTAGTCCCTGCCCCTGCTTCTAGTGCCACCCATGCCAATGCCATGCAATTATTTGTATAGGAATTTAAATTGAATGTCAGTCTGTTTGTTTCCATAACATACACACACACTCGCACTCGCAGTCGCAGTCGCAGTCGCACATTGCTGACAGTTTAAGGAACATGTGGAGGCATCCAGGACGAAAACCAGAACCTGGTCCGGGTCCAGAACATTGTCGCACATAAGCAGTTGAGTTCAGTTGTGCCTTGGTGTGCCGCTGCTCGGTGCTTGGGCTCCTTGTCTGCTGTAAAATTCCAAATTTGTTTTATTTGATTTCTGCGCTGCGCTGCTCTCGCTCGTTTTCCGTTCGTTCCATTTTCTTTTCTTTTCCCAAGCAGTTACTGCTCCTGCTGCATATTTCCCTTTATGCAAAATATATGCTATAAATGCCCCGCTCCCACCCCCCCCTCTCGGAGCCAGGAGGAGCGGAGCGCCTCCCTCTGTCCTTTATTTGAATATCGTGTCACATGTCGCACGCAGTTAGGTGCCTGCGTTGTTATTGTAATTGTTGTAAATGTCGCCCAGCGACAATATCGCATTTGCATATTTCTGTGCCAACACAGACACTTGCATATATATATATATTTATATATATATAAATGTATAAATGTATATGTATATACCCCAGCGAGCTCTGTGCATTTTTACTTAATTTTATTTGTATTGGATTTGCGCCGCTGTCTCGGCGAGTCCTGTGCTGGCTGTGCGCGCTCTTGGAATTCTACAATTTGCACAATAAATTTTAATTCAATTTACTGTTAAATGCACACCGAGACGCAGCCACTAACTAAATGCGAACGCGGAAGTGCGCATTCTGGCATGACAATCGTCCTCCGGCGAGCAGTGCAGCGAGAGATTACCCAACAATAGAGCCTGGCCATTGGTGGAGTTTTAAAGGGTATTAAGTAGAGGTGTTAAATTGTGGCTATTATCATAAATATTTCAATTAATTTTCTTTTGTTAAATCAAATCCTTTCTTTTAAAGCCAGGCAGTTTTTATTTATCCAAGCTTGACTGTAGCTAACTTTGGCCAAAATTGTCACAGGGATAGCGCCTGTCCTAGCTGAAGTTTCCAGAAACCTTTATCCCGCGGCCGCAGGACCAATCTGCCGTTACTTGGTAAACTTTATGCTTTGCAGGACCGCGTAGTTGGCCATAAGTTGCCCTTATTATGATAATGGTCGCGCATGTGCAGCCATTTTGATTGCGGCTGCGGCAGCCATGGCTGAAGCAGTTTCACTTCCTGTTAATGTCCTGCAAGTGAATCGAATGTGCGCAGCTGCAGGACGAGCTGTAGTATTATCAACTAAACTAATTTGAAATTGTTGTCAAAACTTGGAGACGATTTTCGTTGACTTCGTTTGTGTTTACTTGCTTTTGATGCTGATGTTGCCGTTGGCTAACATCTGGCAATGGAGCCGAAAAAGCCGGATCAGGCCCAGGCCCAGAAGTCGGACCTAGATCCGCTGGCCTCCAATGAGCCGTTGGGTGTAGTGTGAGTTTGGTCCTAGCTATTATTTTTATGCAAATGAGTAATCCTCTCTTTATAGGCAGTCCATGACGTCATTCTACAGATACGATCCCTATGCCAAGCGAACCGTGGAGAATCCCTTGACGTAAGTTTGAAATGTATAGCAGATTGATATTTATTTAATATTTGACTCCTAGTAACTGTGACGCCTTCGTCTCGCTGCTAAAGTGCGTGATTGGCACGGGTATTCTGGCCATGCCGCTGGCCTTTCGCTGTTCGGGCATCGTGATTGGTGTTCTGATGTCCGCCCTGTTGATGGTCCTGCTGACCTACTGCATCCATTTGCTGGTCCGTAAGTGGCTTTCTCTCGGTCTCTAATCCAGTATTCAGCCTGATCTCTTACTTTCAGATCTCCAGCATGACAGAGTGCTGTCGAAGACGGCAAGTGCCGCAGGTGTCGATGCCAGAGGCCGTGAGAATCGCCTATGAGGAGGGTCCCCGCTGGGTTCAGTGCCTGGGACCCGCGGCGGGGATTATGACAAGCTGCGTTTTGGTCATTGGACAGTTCCTACTCTGCTCTGTGTACTTAGTTTTCGTGGCCAAGAACTACAAGGAGATCGGGGATTATCACATAGGGAAAGTCAACGAGGGGTATTATGTCTTGGGCCTTTGCCTGCTGCTCCTGCCGCTTTTTCTGATTCGCCAACTAAAGTACCTGGTGCCCCTGAATATCTTATCAAACATTCTGTTGTATGCGGGATTCATTCTGATCATGTACTACTTGTTCAGTGGCCTGCCCAGTATCAAGGAAAGGGAGTTGGTCAAGCCTCCCATAGAATGGATCGAGTTCTTTGGCATTGCTGCCTTTTCCCTGACTGCCGTGGGTTCGGTGAGTGTTTAGGAAATTCTAAAAAACTTGTATATTTAAGGACTACCTTTCCAGATGCTCGTCGTGGAGGCCAACATGGCTCACCCGCAGAACTATCTGGGTCTCTTTGGTGTCCTTAACTTGGCTGTACTCTTCATACTGTTCTCGAATTTGTTCTTTGGAATAATGGGTTACTGGCGGTTTGGCGAAAGTGTTCAGGCCAGCGTCACACTCAACATTCCGCAGTGTGAAATGTAGGTAAAATATTAATTCATTTAATAAATAATATTCTTAATTTGTTAAACCTACATAGCTTATCCCAGGTCATTAAGTTTTGCATAGCCACGGGCATCCTGCTCAGCTATCCGCTGCATGGCTTTGTGGTGATCACTGTGATCTTCAGCGACTACAGTAACACCGAGGAAAATAAAAGAAAGCATCATAAGCTGATTGAGTGCGTGGTGCGCATTATATTTCTGTTGTTTACTGGTAAGTTCTTTTCTTTATTTAATTTCCAATATTTATAAATTTATATAAGGAGTGGTGGCCATTGTCATGCCCAATCTGGCTGCTCTCACGGAGCTGGAGGGCGCCTTTTCGCTGAGCAATCTCAACCTGCTGTGTCCCGCCCTGATGGATATATTCCTTTGCTATGGCAAGGGCTATGGCCGTTTGAAGTGGCGACTGATTCGCGACCTGCTGCTCATCCTGATCGGACTTATCTTTGGCTTTGTGGGCTGTGCGATGGCCATAAGGCAGCTGATACACGATTTCCGGGTGACGCTTGGCCAGATGTAGGAGAACCGGCATTCCCTTTGGATTTCTCTTAGTGCCTGCATTAAAATCGGATTTTCCAAGTTGTCCGCCGTTGGTCCTTGTTGTTGCATTTAAGAACCAAATATTTGGCTCCATGTTCGGTGGCTTTTAATTAATTGCCCGCCCAAGTGTTTGCCCGCTGTTGGCTTATCTCCCATTAAGTCGGTTGTCTAAGCTCTCTGCTCGTCGGCTTCCTGTTTGCCCAACGTGGCGTATACTCGATGTGCGCTTAGTCGGGCATACATCAAGTATACGCCGCGTTTAATTAGCTGCCCCGCCGCCGCCGCAGCCGATCATTTAAAGCGAAGCCATCGACTCGGTGGGGGGAAGCTGTAATCAAATGCAGGCAGGAGGCACAGGCAGGTCCCCGGGTTCGTTTGCTGGCTGGGGGATTTTAAAATTGAATTCCCTGCCTCAATGGAGCGCAAATACAAAAGGCAAAGTTGCCTAGCTGCCGCACAATAAACTAAAAGACAAATATACAAATACAAATTCGGAGCCAAGAAGAAGTACAATCTCTGCTGGTCCTGGGAGCAGCCCCTCCTACCGTCCTGCAACTCCTGCAAATATATAAATAGGCACAGGAAAAGCAACTGCCGACGACGGCGACTGTTGACTGCGCCAGTGTAAATAGCACGGCCGGCGAAATACAATAAAAAAATAAATACAAAAAAATAGTCAGCAGGAGTCGTTCGGAGGCTGAGACTGAGGCTGAGCTCCTCAAGGAACTGCACGAAGGACAAGGAAGACCACTACTGCAGCAAACACACACAAAACACAATTTCCATTCTTCAAATAGAAATACACAAAAAACAAACCGAGAGAGGAGACCGAGAATAAAACGTTGCGACTGCCAGCGACAGCAGTCAGGATGCGAGGAGGACCAGGGGGGGGGGACCGGGACCACGGGTATCCTGGGGCATGATTTTTGCAGACATGTTGCTTAAAACTTAATTTAGAGCGCCGCTTGCACTGGGCCCCCAAAAAATGCGGCCCGAAACCGAAAAGCAAATCAACGGGGAAAAAAAAAGAAAATAAGAAAAGAAACACGAAATGAGATCAGGCTGGCAGCAGGAACAAGCAAAAAGAATAAAAAAGTATAAGGAAAAGCTCACATAGAAAATTCGCCAGCGGCGGCAGCTTCAACTAATTTTCGTATATAATTTCGTGGGCCCAGACAGGAAATGCTGGGCAAATCCCCGGCAGAGTGGGGGCTGCGGCTGGAGCCGGTTTCTTGCCTAGTTGTCAGGACAGCATCATGTCAGTGTCATTATCAAACAATTCGCTGCGAAGAATGCCGGGGAGAGCACTGATCCAGCCAGCCAGCCGGCAGCAATCCACCAAGTCCCACATGCTTTCTGGCTAAAAATGTCGCTGCCCCTTTCCTTGCGGTCTCAGACAATGCGTGGCACAACTTCATTCCCGACTGTCTCTCTCCGTGTCTCGGCTGTCACATGTCGGGAGTCAGGAGTCCATGGTCCGGAGTCCTCAGTCCGGAGCCGGCAGCCGGCTGTCCGGAGAGTCCTGGCAGGCCAAGCTCTCAAATTGAAAAAATTCCTATTTTAATACAATTATTTGTAGGCTAAAAAGGAAGAAAAACGATGCGGCAAGATTCAGCCAAGAAAGGGAAGGCGACATGTGACTTAGGGAAGAAATTTAAATATATATGGGAAATATTTAAGAAGAATTAGAAATTGGAGAAGAAAAACTTCATTTTAGTTAAGACAAGGTCAAATTTCCTTTTAATACTAATAAATTAAGAATGTTTTAGCCCTAAGTTATTGTTAAGTCTCTCTGAATTCTTTACTTTAACTCTTTTAATTTGAATCCCCTAATTTTCTTTATAAAAAAACCTATAATTCTACAAATTTCCTTCTAGAAAAGTATCAAAAATATAACCAGACTTCCTCCGTTTAACCAGATATCCCTGTCTGAGCCTTAAAAAACTCACCTCCTTTAAGAGCCTCGTACTTCTCCGGCTGCGAAATGACTCCTCACAGTTGTTTGCTGAGGATTGACAGGTAGAAAAAAAAGGGGGGAGTGAGCCAGAGCTAGAGAGGAGCCCGAAGGTGAAAGGGATTCTGTGGGTTAGATATGGAGCACAGGTGAAGGCAGCTCCGGGTCGAGTGTCTGAGGTCTCGTATCCTTCAAGCGGCTTTGGCACGTTCCATTTGTGCCGCCTAACATTTATTTACTTGGCTGACTGAAATGTCATATTTGCCTTTGGCCCACGTTTACTTCATTCTGATTGTATGTGATTTGCATGCGGATGGTATGGGAAAATTAAACCGCAAAGAGAGAGAGAAATAAAAAATAAAATAAAAATGGGTAAAAAAAATAAGAAGGAACGAACGAATTGTCACAGCGGCGAGAGCATCTCAACTATTTACTTATTTATTTCGCATTGAGAGAGACCTTGCCTGAGAATTTTCGCCAAGTTCCCAGTATTTGCAGCGTTCCTTTCCAATTTGAAATGTGCACTGGCCGGTGACGTGGAATAATGCTGGTATGTCAGCCATCTAACCATCTATCCCTCTAAGCGTCCATCCAGTCAGCCAGCCATCCATCCGGCAATCTACATACATCCCAATGCTGGCATTTGCTTTTGTTTGCGGCATGCGATTTGTAGATTTTTCAACCCAAAACGCTTTGGCAGTGGACGGACACAGCGGCAAATAATGTAAATCGAGGGGCAGAGTGTGTAGAGGATATGGGATATATGAAGGGCAGAACGGGATTCCGGACAACTGGTCAACAATGTGCCAGTGCATAAGTTGGCATTATGCAACAAATATGCAACAGAGCCTCGGGTCACATGCTAAATTCTTCTGGCTGGGCCCCAGGAGATGGCCAAATCACTCAGCCCGAGCTTGCTGACCGATTTGCATACTCAAGCAGTCGGTCCGGGCATCTTAAAGATACAAAGATACAAAACGACAAAAGCAGTACACTTTGAGGAAAAGTATAGTCACAATTAATATAATGAAGCCACAAAAATGTATACATAAATTCCTTGTAAAAGATTGCTTAAACTTTGATCTGTGCGAAATAAACCATAGAAATGAGATCTTAAAATCGAAATCAAGGTCTCTTAAACTTTTATTTGCATTATTTAAATATATAAAATGTAGACTTTACAAGACTTTATAATATATTTTCCGACCTTTTCCCAGTGTATTTGTAGGCAATCAGTAAGAGTCCTGTCGAGTTTCGGTTTCCCCCGCTCTCTCTCCATCGGGACTCCTAATTAAGTGTGTGAATTCCTATCGGAGCAGTGGGATGGTTGTTGTTTTTCTAATGAACCAACTAATTGCATCTAACGGCAACTGCAAAAGTAATCAAAGTGGCAGGCTCTGGAGTTTCCAGCTCCCAGCTCCAAACTCTCCCAAGAGTCGGCAAAATGGCAATAATAACGAAACTTTGTTCAAGAATTTTTGGAATGTTGCACAAATATGGGCAAGAATGCAGGAAAATATGCTTGGACCGATGCAGGCGTGATTGGGTGTGGGAAAGAGATGCCCACAGATGTGAGAGTGAGAGGGGGGGAATTAGACCGACTGAAGTGGCAGACAGAAGCCCGTTCAAGTTGCTTTTGCTGCTGCCGCTGCCGTTGGCTTATATCAATAATTGCCAAAAGCAAATTGGAAAAGTTATGCGCCTGCAGTTAATGCGACCAGCGGAAATAGTCGCAGTCAAAATGGCGCAACAGCCAAACGGAAGTGCCCAGCACACTCGCACATCCCCACACAAACATACACACATACATATTTTCAGGCTGGAATATCCAAAGTTGTTGACTGTACTTTGGTTATTAGTACTTTAGTTTGGAGAAAGAGTACTTTGATTAGCTGATTGAAGTTTGGATTTTGAATTTTAAATATTTAAAATTACCAAGTTTACTGTTTTTCTTACTGGAAAATATTAGTCTTCTTAATAATAAATATTATTTTATGAATAAATAAAGGTTCAATATATTTTCTGTAATTTTTTTAATGCCTTAACCATCTAGAAAGGTAGATTCTTTTCATTAATTTCATATTTTGATATGATTTATCTAATAAAAAAATATTTCTTTAAATAAATTTCCCTCAAAAAGCAGAGTCTTAACACGCAGGCTTTACCATAACCAAAGTTTTCCCCTGCTGTTTTCTTCTTGTTTTGTTTCAAAATTTGTTTTGCAACTTCTGTATTTTTTTCGGGTGAGAGGAAAGAAGAACTTGCTGGGCACTCGGTGGGATTTGTTGAAGCAGCTCTCAAGATACTTTCGATATGCCAATTGGCATCGATTCGAGGTTCTGCTCGGCTTGGCTTGTTACTTTCGTGTGACTCGAACTGCGCCTCAACTTTTTCAACCGAAAACCGCGAATTGGACTCGGCTCATTGAATTGATATTCGCAATTAAAAGTGTTTTTCGTGCCTCGCTAATGATCTAAAGGTGAGGGCTATAAAAACTGGTGTTAGACCTGTGAAAATTATAGTAAAAAACCAACATGAATCGGGCTCTGGTGGTGCTGGTAGTGCTTAAAATGCTGACTCTCAGTGAGGTGAGTTTCCCAATTCAAGAGCGAAAAAGGCTTTAAATGACTGAAAGGACTTTTCCCACAGTCTCGCTTTGCCAAAGTGAATATAAACCTGGGCTTAACCGTGGCCGACGAGTCCCCGAAACCCATTACGGAGGACATGATCCGTCTGTGCGGCGATCAAACGGATATATCTCTCAGGGACTTGCACAAGCTGCAGCAGCAGGACTTCACCGATCCCTCGGAATCTGTCCAGTGCTTCACTCACTGCCTCTACGAGCAGATGGGCCTCATGCATGACGGTGTCTTCGTGGAGAGGGACTTCTTTGGTCTGCTCTCCGATGCCAGCAATCCGGACCTGTGGCCAGAGCGACAGTGTCACATGATACGCGGTGAAAATAAGTGCGAGACTGCCTTCAAAATCCACCAGTGCCGGCAGCAGGTGAAGCAGCAGAAGGTTAACTCCTCCACGGGCAAGGATGTGGAGGTCACCACACAGATTCAGGCAGAGGATGCCTTGCCCTAGAGGCTTCTGAGAGAAATTAAATAAATGGTGGTGGTCAGGGCTTTAAAATGTATCAGCTAATGAAATGTTTAACAAATTATTCAATAAAATCGTTTTAAAAAGAAAATATATAGTTTTTAGTATTTTAATTTATTTAAAAAGTGGTGAAGAATATTTTTGTCATTTCCTGAATTGAATTTTGTACCTTTTTCGATTAAACTCCCTCACAATGCGACTCCCTTGGACAGCTAAAGGCACTTGACTTAACCTGTGACCATTAGTGCTTGACTAGAACTGCCGATTGGTGACTCTTGCGGTTCCTTCGCTTTTCCATGGAAATTTTGCCACTTAGCCAGGGAGACGCCGCATTGTTAACTAAGCGCGGTTCGCGGCGCACACACAGATGTGTAAATGACGCTAATGCCGGATCGAAGTTGGGAGTTGCCACTCTGCCGGTCCACTTATCGCAGCTGCTCAACCCCAAATCCCCATTCGGTGCACTTGTCTGCGATTTCGAGTGCATTTTGCGCGGCAATTATTTCTTTTTTTTTTTCTCGCTCAATACTTGACTTTAAATTGTCGCCGACTGCATTGTGACCACTACCTGAACTCTGAACTCTCGACTCTCGACTTCCCTGTGGCTTTTCATTTATTTGGCGATGCCACTCCCACTTGGCTGCCTTTTAATTTGCTGGCCGCGCCAATTGTTAAGCAAAAGTGGCTAATTTGAAATTCTTTTGAGCGAAGTGCGCACATTTTCGAATGTCAACTTCGTCGTCTTCCCCGAATGCAGTGAGTTTTCCCGCCTTGTACTCATTCTGCTACCTCCTCCCAGGGAGCATTTTCCCGCCGTCCCGATTTCGCAGCTTTTCGAGGGAAAGCGTCTGCCTTTGGTGGCTTTGGCTTTGTCTTTGTGTCACGCGGCATGAAATTGAATTTTCGGTCTGCACCGCCAGCAGAAGCGACAAGCGACAAAAGCCCAGCCAATTGTCGGGTGACCTCCTCCCGAAATAAGCCACCCAGCCACCCACAAGACACCCTTCCACGGGGTCATACCCGTACCCAGGCGTTAATTGCACCAGTTAACAAAAAACAGAAATATATTTGAGGTGGGATAGGTTTTTTAGAAAAAAATATTCATATTAGTCTTTATAAGTATTATATATTATTAACTCTATATATATATATATTAACTCTACCTATTTTACTATATTAAAAATATTTTTAAATATTTTATCTACAAGTTCTTTGATAGACTTTTGAATTTACAAGTCATACCTATACAAAAATCACTCTTTTAAATATAAAAAGTAAACTTTATTAGTTTAATTCGCCCCTTATTAAAATGAATATAAAATATATTTCCTTAAAATGATTATTAACTAAAATATTTCCCATGTTAACTAGTGTAGCTGGGTACCAGCTCCACCGCCATTTTGACACTCATACAGCGTAATTCGAAATGAATGAAAATTTCTTTTTGTCTTTGCAGTCAGTTTTTCAGCTGTTGATGCTCTTGTTGCTCCTGTTTTTCTCGATTTTCTTTTTTTGGTTCGCCTTCTGTTTTTGTTTTTCTTGGTTTTTCTGCTCTTGAATTTCAATTTACATAAGTCTCTGTTTTTCCATCTCTTTGTTCGACTTTCATCTTAACTTTTCGCCTACTTCTGCTCTCTGGCTGTCGAGTTTGGAGGAGTCGAGTCGCTGTTTTTGTGGTTAAATGTAAATTTGATTGAATTTAACTCTTTTTGTGTCTGTCTGGCTGAGCGTTAAAGAGGAAATTGCATAATTATGCCCAATCTTGAGGCCAATCCGCAAATGTGCAATCTAAGAGCAAAGAAAAGGCGTGGGGGAGAAGACGAGAGGGAAATGGATACGCTTTTCCACAATTTCCTCTCTTGTGTGTGTCCTTAGGCTTACATTTCTCAGTTCCTTTGAAGGTTTTTTAATTGAGAAAAGTCTTTTGGATGGAGCTTGTTAAGGAAAATATTTTAAATCTAATTAAAGATCTTCTCATTCTATTAGTAGTTAAAAATTCTTATTTATTTTTACTCATTTATTGGAATTCATTTTATTATACACCCTTTGCCTTTTTATTTTCTGTTCATCTTATTACTTTTTATTTCGGAGCTTTCAGCTCATCTTGAAAATTGATTTCACTCATCGATAAAAAGTGCGGAGAGTCTGTTAAAACTGCGTGAAAAAGGGGTGAAGCTGAGGCACCAAAAAATACATTTATATTGCTACATTTATGCAACATTTCAATCATTAATAAATCAATTAAAATAAATTGGAATTTTGTGCGCTGATGTTGAACATGCAGAGAATACTTATACTCTCACAAGGGGTAGTATTAACTTGATGAAGAAATGGGGAAATAAATAAGTAAATGAGGTTTAAAGGTAATTTCTTTCTAATTCTTTAAGTTAAATAATTAAACAATATATTGTTTAAAAAATAATAAATATACATAAAATGAAACATAGGTACTTCAGCATTTTAATCAATTTAAATTACTCGTCTTTCATAAAGTTAATTCACTTTCGTCAGGGTATTGGCCCTATCGTAAACCCAATTCTCTTACCACTTTCTTGTTTTTGTTTATCCATTCTTTCCTTCCCATTTGAATCCCCCCCACTTTCTTCCCCTCTGCCAGTCGATTTCTTGTTTTGTTGTGTGATGGATTCGGTTCCATGCCATTTAATGCAATTACGCAAAGCTTACATTGCCCATTTATTCCGCTCCCACCGCACCCTCGCGGCTTCTGATATGAATCAGATACGAAAAAAAAGTGAAGCGAACGCCGGAAATTTTTGATGGCAGCCCTGACATTTTTAAGTGACAGACACTGGCCCATGCAGAGAGCTTAAATTATTCATTTGATTTACGGCAAAAACATAAATTTGCCGCAACATGGGTGTGGGCGAGGCTCCAGCGAGCGGCAGTTGCATATTAAAATGCATTTATATCAAATTATGTTTCATCTGTCAGACAACTGACAAAGTGCACGGAAAACAAAACGAGTGCGGTTTTTTTTGATAAAAAATAGTATTAATAAAACTATTCCGGGTCCGTCAAATATTACAAAAAGGTTATTTTTAGGTTGAAAATGTATGTCACAAGGCATAGATATTTTTTTATGAAGGGACAAATTGGTTTGTTTCTTTTTTAATAGATATTTTTCTACATATTTCCTATTTAAAAACTCTTAAATATAGGAATTACAGGCCAAAAGCATGCTATACTTATTTGTAGGTTAGCCTTGCCTACTTTAAGGTGCTCGAAGAAATGTTTTAAAATCATAGGTTTTCGAATCGAGCTAAAGAGACGATCTTTTATCGGTTTCCATATATTTTCTCTGTGCACAGACCAGAGTGGGTATAACTAGGCAATCTCTCTCGGACATGGAACTACTCTCAGCGCCTTACAACTCGAGAGACATGTCGAAAGTTGCGCGACGTCTGTCGTTAGTGGATGTGTTAAGTAGAGAATTGTGAGGAGAGGGGCAGGATCTAAGGCGAAGGCGAACAGACAGGCGACAAATCCACACCGCAGCTGGCAAAAACAGCGGAAAGAGGTTAGACATGAGCGTTAAGAGCATTAGACTAAACTTTGCCTTGGCGCTGATGTATATATAAATATATATATATATATATATGGAATGTCCTAATAGAAAATCCCCCGAAAAAATATGGCAATGATGCTTGCTTAGCATGTGACAGGGGGAAAAATAATGTTGAAGCCAAAGGGGAGACGTGATTCAACTTAGAGCCAACAGTTTACCGTTGCCGGAAAATTGGCAAGGCGGAAAATGAAAAAGTCTTTATAAAGGAAACTTATTGAAAAATCTCATATCCTTAAATATAAATTATTCCAAATATTACACAGTTATATTTAATATTTTATGTACTTTATTTTCCCAAGCCATACTCACATCATTAGGACTCATAAAAGTCATGGCCAAAAAACCCTTCTTATCGCCGCTAGAAGGCCATCTGATATTGATAATAATCTTTAACTTTCGAGCTTACCCGTATCCGTTTTTTTATTTTCCGATACCTTCTCTCTTTCCCTTCCTTTTTTTTTGCATTTTTCCAGCCGCCTGCTGTTTGTTGGCTGGCAAAGAGAAAAGTTTTCCGCCTTCCGCCGGCTGCTGGCAGCTGTTGCGTGCTGGAAACCCCCTACCTCTTCTCAACCCAAATGAAAAAAAAAAAAATAGAACAAAATCCAAAACAAGAACAAGAACCAATGGGCTTAGAGGCAGTTGCTGTTGTCTGCTTTCAGGCGTTAAGAGAAACCACCAAGTTCGAGCCGAGACCGAGACCGGGCCATAAAGGGAGTCAAAGATTTGGCCAAAGATCGATATGCCAACAACGGGGCAAAAAAAAAAAAATGTAAATAGAGTTCTCTGGGAGGATAGGGCCATAGACCAGGCCATAGACCACAAAATCTCATCACGTTGAGCAAATACGGCCGCATGCCAGGCGGGCGTTCGAGTGTAGATTAAAAAATGGCCGCAAAAATAGCTTTGGGGGCCAGAAAATAGGGCCGCTTTTCACACTTGAAAATCGATTACGCAGCTGTGATCTGCCACGCCTCCAAGTCACCACTCAGCCACTTGAAGCTGAGGTGGGCGTAGGGTGTGTGTGAAAGTTTTTGTTTTGGCAAATCACGTATTGGCAATTGCTTACACGCTGATTGAGTCCGAAGCTCAAGGTCTAATTAGGTGGCCCCCAGAGAGCGCTTCGCTTTTTGCCATTTCATGGCAGTCAAATCAACGCAAATGCAGCAGCTACTCCTCTTCGAGTTTCCATTTGTCATAAGAGGATGTGCACGGAGAGAAAATTGTGTTTTGGATATTTTATTTCGAAAAGCAAGAGAGCGTGGATACTTAATTCCTTGAAGTAAAAAGAAGGCTTTGACTTGTCTAAGGATTATAAATTCATGATGGCTTCAGGGAAATGATTTAGGGAAGTAAATAGTCAGTAAATATAATTATATATAATAGAACCACTTTTCTCTAG